AGCAGTTTGACAATAGAACAATTAGCCAACACCTTCAAATGACCAACATTTGCTTATTGGTCAGAGCCAACAGCTACATTAGGCTTTTCCAGGGATTTGCCTATGCCTGGGGGATTTTATGGCTTCCCTCCTTTGAACAGAAGACCTGATTATTTGGATCAAATAAAAACATGAATTTGCTTTATTATACTGGGAGGGTGGGTGTGGGGGGGTTATAGATTTATTTGACAGAAGTCTACCCATGCAGCAATACAGTCATTTCCCTTGTTCTGAGATAGGATGGGGGAAAGGACATTAGATTTCTGTAACACGCTCTATGTGGGGCTGCCCTTGAGGATGGTCTGAATACTTCAATTGGTGCAAAGTAGAGCTGCCAGGTTGCTGACGGGGACTGGGCATTGTTCCCATATAATCCCAGTTCTCCATCAGTTTCACTGGTTCCCCATTGAAGTCCAAGTCCAATTCAAGGTGTTGGTTATGACGTATAAAGCCCTCAACGGCTTGGGACATGGTTATCTAAAGGAGCGCTTACGTCCATATATGCCCTCCTGCCCCTTAAGATCGGCGGAGGAGGCCCTTCTCCGGGAGCCCTCTGTGAAGGATATTAGGAGGGTGAGTACCCGGAGGAGGGCCTTCTCTGCGGTGGCGCCCCACCTATGGAATGAGCTCCCCAGAGAGGTCCGCCTGGCGCCGTCAATGTTTTTCGGTGCCAGGCCAAGACCTTTTTATTTAAACGATATTTTAATTGTTAATTTGTTGTTCTTATTTATTGGTTTTAAATTATGGTCGAGATACTCTGAATTTTTAATGTTATCCTATTCTATGTTTTATCTGCCTTGTAAGCAGCCCCGAGACTTTCTGCGATGGGTGCAGCATAAAAATGTTATAAATAAATAAATAATAAATAAGGGCAGGGAGGCATTAGATATTGGTAGGTAGTAAGAAAGAGCGGGAGTACAGGGGCTCATTTCCACATGGACTGCTAAAGAATTAAGCACTGAAGGATGATAAACATATATTTCAAGATGCATAGATGTAGTGAAGTAGTTTCAAACACACTTTTCACATTAAGATGAGCTTCTTTTACAGGCAATGAATATCTGCTGAAAACAATTCACCATACTTAAGAGTGTGTGTTTGCTTCAGCCTAGTTTCTTCTGATTTGTTCAAAATTCCTCAAAGCACCATTGTGTAAATATGCAAATTGAACTGCGGAATGTATTCTATACAACATTAACCACCTAGTTACATGGGAAGATGGTTATTGTTTAAAAAATACACAATGAACGTGCATTGCTTCTGGAACAATCTATAAATAACCTTCAGGAAAGAAAATCAGCTGAAATACCACAAGGGAAGCCTGGAGGGTAGTGATAAAATGGATTAAGAAGTAGTTAGCCACACACTTTCCTCTTATACATTGTCTCAGTCCCTAAGCTTTGGACAGTCTGATGAAAAGCAAAAGAAAGGGCTGAAACTATACACGCAAACACCTATTCCTTTGTTTTACTGCATTCTTTAAAAGTCATCTCTAGATCTGTAATTTACTCTAGAGAAACATGGGGTCAGCAGCATGATGAAGGCATTCTGTAGCTAGCAGTATAGCCAAACCATATTTTCCGTGTAATAATACAGAAATGCCTCACATATGCCCATCAAATACTTAAGTTGTGACTTGAAATTAGTGGTAACTTTCAAATCTCAGCAATAATGTCCACAGATAGAAAGTCAGCAAGTTGGCCATTCTGTTGGTTTATGTTAAAATGAGGGGTCGGCTTGTTTTACCAATCTCCCACTTCTAGATTTTTCAATGCTTATATTCTACACTAATGTATACTTGTTTTACCTTCATATATTCCAGAGGAAAAGGATGCCCTTAAAAATGTCCAGACAAAGGGGAGAGATTGATAGTAATGCCTTTTGGCAGATGTTGCTGATGGTGGCAAAGAAGAAAGCAAGATATCTGTGACCTGATCATACGGCTACTCCATACAGAAAAATCCCAGGTGGGGGATTAGAAACAGAAAAAACAAACAAACAAATCCTTTTTAATACCTCTTCTCTCAGGGCATCTTTACATGGTATTTTTAACCCACTGTTTTACTGAGATGTCATCTTTCATTTCCTTTTCAGGATAAAGAGTACTCTCCTTACACAGGGGACATTCCTCTAGAGTTTATCATTCTCTGCCTCTTTTCTCTATTCCATCACTCAAGCACAAGGTATGTGGCATAGGTGTAGTATGGCAGAGTTGTGATACCACATGAGAGTTCCAGCCCAGTTTCTTCCAGATTTGAAATTTAACAGCTGGCTTTCCTCATGCTAAAGAAAATGCCAGAAAAATGGCTGCCAAACAGGAGAAGCCCTGGGGAATGACCAGGTGTTGTAATGAGCCTGCATATTACTGTGAATGAGAGATCATGAATGCCAAGAAATGCCTCACGAAGAGAAGCCCTTAAATTCACATACGTAGGATGAATTGCTTCTCCTAGGGTTAGGTGTGCCTGGTTCCTGAAAGCCTTACAGACAAAAATCAAATTCAAACATGCTTGCCATGGCCTACAACCACTACTATACAACTCAGCCCAATTGGATGATTTCCCAAGAAACTGCACACTTCTTATATGACTCACTGTGTGTTAAACCATGTTTAAACAGAAATATTGTCCCAACTGACATGTGCCTCCATATAGGAAAATGATTACTATGTTTTAGCTTGCACATGGTAGAAATATAGTGCTTTTATGAAAAAGTGGATGACTCTTATATAAGTCACTGGCTGGGTTCAGAAAGTATAACAAGTTATTTTTTAAACCATTGTTAATCAGTCATGTTGTTTGAAAATAGTGATGGTATTTTACTATGTTAAGATTTGTCTTTAGAAACCATGGTAAGAAACAATGGTTCTATGGTTTTTCTGTACCACCATGGTTTGTCATGTTGTCTGAACCCAGAATCATGATTCCCATGGACCTGGAACTGCAGATGCAGTGGATGGTCAGATGCATACCAAGAGTGGAAGGACTGAGTAGAGAAGATGGAAACCATGATAAAGTAGAAACCACTTGATTGCCTATCAGGTGTTGCTGTTCAGTCGCAAAGTTGTGCCCAACTCTTTGCAACCCCATGGATAACATTCCTCCAGTTTCTCCTGTCCTCCACCATCCGCCAGAGTACACCCAACCCCACACCCACCTCTCCAGTGACCCCATCCAGCCACCTCAACCTCTGTCATCCCCTTCTCCTTTTGCCTTCAATTGTTTCCAGCATCAGGGTCTTTTCGAATGAGTCCTTCCTTCTCATTAGGTGGCCAAAGTATTTGAGCTTCAGCTTTGGTAGCTGACCTTCTAAGGAGCAGTCAGGGTTGATATCCTTTAGGATTGACTGATTTGATCTCTTCGCAGCCTTAAAGGACTCTCAGGAGTCTTCTCCAACACCAGAACTCAGAAGCAATGATTCTTCAGCGCTCAGCCTTCCTCATAGTCCAACTTTCACAGCCATACATTACAAAGGGGGAAACCATAGTTTTGACTATACAAACTTTTGTCAGCAGGGTGATGTCTCTGCTTTTTAGTATGCTGTCTAGATTTGCCATAGCTTTCCTCTCAAGGAGCAAGCATCTTTTAATTTCTTGGCTGCAGTCACCATCATTGCATTGCATTGTAAGCTACCTAGGAAGGCCTCAGCAATTATAGGTGGCCTATAAATACATGTAATAAATAAATAAATAAATCTGCAGTGATCTTGATGCCCAAGAAAATAAAATCTGTCACTACCTCCATTTCTTCCCCATCTATGTCACAGGACCAGATGCCATGCTGTTAGTTTTCTTAATGTTGAGTTTCAAGCCAACTTTTGCACTCTCCTCCTTCACCCCCATCAAGAGACTCTTTAGTTCCTCTTCATTTTCTGCCATTAGAGTGGTATCATCTGCGTATCTGAGGCTGTTGATATTTCTCTCAACAGTCTTAATTCCAGCTTGCAATTCATCTATCCCAGCCTTTCGTATGATGTACTCTGCATATAAGTTAAATAGGCAGGATGACAATATACAGTCCTGCCGTACTTCTTTCCCATATCTAGTTCTAACTGTTGCTTCTTGACCCACATACAGGTTTCTCAAGAGATAATTAAGATGGTCTGGTACTCCCATCTCTTTAAGAACTTGCCACAATTTGTTGTGAGCCACACAATCAAGGGCTTTAGCATAGTCAATGAAGCAAAAGCAGAATTTTTTCTGGAACTCTCTAGCTTTCTCCATGATCCAGGATATGTTGGCAATTTGATCTTGAGTTCCTCTGCCTCTGCAAAACCCCACTTGTATTTCTGGTAGTTCTCAGTTCACATATTGCTGAAGCCTAGCTTGTAGGATTTTGAGCATAACTTTGCTAGCATGTGAAATGAGCACAATTGTTCAGTAGTTTAAACATTCTTTGGCATTGCCCTTCTTTGGGATGAGAATGCAAACTGACCTTTTCCAATCCTGTGCCCACTGCTGAGTTTTCCAAATTTGCTGGCGTATTGAGTGTAGCACTGTCTTTCAGGATTTTGAATAGCTCAGCTGGAATACCATTTCCTTCACTAGCTTTGTCATTGCTCAGACTTCCTAAGGCCCATTTGACTTCACACTCCAGGATTTCTGGCGCGAGGTCAGTGATATCACTGTGGTTATCAGGGACGTTAAGCTCGTTCTTGCATAGTTCTTCTCTGTAACCTTGCCACCTCTTCTTAATCTCATCTGCCTCTATTAGGTCCCTGCCATTTTTGTCCTTTATCATGCCCATATTCACATGGAATGTTCCCTTAATATCTCCAATTTTCTTGAAGAGATCCCTATTTATCGATCAGGTAGATCAGGGTAAAAAGGACACTGCAATAACCACATCATGCACATCTGCTGGCAGATACGCATACATGTAAAATCCCATTTGTTTCCATATCTGAAAATGACCACTACTTATTAGTCCACACCTTGTGCAAATTTAGTGCTTTTCTGAAAAACTACAACATGGTTGTGAAAAGTAGAGATACACTAACACACTCCCCACACATTCTCCCTTTGAAATATACATATATTAGCAAGAAAGCATTGCACATACTCTGAGACTTCCCCTGCTATGTCCTCAAAGACAACCTGCTCAAAAATTACTTACCAATAAATGGTATCCCCAGATCTGCACCCCATCAATTTTACCTATCCCATAATGAAGCATAATGCCCCTGCTGCAAATGCACATCCTCAAAAAAACAGGAGCCACATGTAAAAGAGCAGACCTCTTTTACCACAATGGTTTCTTGCACAGAATGTTCTGCTATGTAGTCCAAACCCCATATTGGTATTTCAGCATAGCATGTTTGGTTTCTAGAAAACATTATGAGAAACAGTCTGTTCTATGGTTTCCAATCTTTGCTATGGTTTAATGCGGTCATCTGAACCCAGCATCATGGTTCTCATGGTCCTGGTATGCTGCTCCCACACAGTCCCCTGCAAGGAGCAGCAGCTGCAGGAAGTGCTCCAGCCATCCAACATAAGACGGGATTTCAGGCATGGGTTATGTGCCAACAGGAAGTAGACAGAGGAAGGAGGATGGAAACCATGTTAGCATAGTAACCACTGGATTGTCAGGCATATCCAGGTAGAAAACCAGGAGCTGCAGAAACATGGATTGTTCATTGTGACACATGAATGCAGCCAGTCACTCCCTGGCATGAATTATCATGGAGCAGGGGGATGCTGTATTTATCACTCGGGTCCATTTATCACTCTGTCCATTTCCACATCTCTAAACGCAACTTCACTCTCACTATACTTACAGGGTTTTTCCTTATGTGGCAAGTGTGCGTAGAGCTGAACATCTCTTTCGTACGAACGTAAAAGAAATTAGACATTTTTGTTGTAAGCCGCCCCGAGGCTTCGGCAAATGGGGCGGCATAAAAATGTTTTAATAAATAAATAAATAAATAAATATGCCTGCACACGCACACCTCGTGCATGGCGAGGTAATTCTGGAGAACTGTGCAAAAGTTCACTGACACCTTGAGTTACCAACACATGCACTACAGTGCTCTTGGCAGCCTTCCCATATCATATGCACTGCCTCACATAAAAGCCATTGGAAGCTAATTGTACATCACAGCCAACACAGTCACTGTTACAAGTATTTCACATTTCAAATCTGTTTTCACATAGTAATGTAAAGACACCTACAAAAGTACCTTAAAGGATATTTCAGTTGTCATGGTGAATCCATGGGTAATGACTGGCTCTTCTTCAGCTGTTCGACCTTTCCAGCAATCCAGCTCAACACAGCGGCAGCCAGACAACAGCACTTGGCGGTACATCTCTACGGAAGAGTTACCAGCCAGCTGCCCAGCTGCAACAACATAGCAAGGAAGATGAAACAAGGGAACCCATTATGGGTACATGCACTAAAGGCAGACAGTCTAACAATCATGAACACGTCTATCAGGGGTTCTTAGCCTTCTGGGGGCAATGGGCATATTTGGAATATTGAGTTAGTGTTGTGAGAACACTTACAACATGGCTGCCATGGGAGGCATGCCCTACTGTAAACCACATAACTTCAAGAAGGCAAACTGGTGAGGCTAAAAGAAAATTAAGTTGCTGAAAAACATTAATGGAGCGGCTGGGCCTTTGGGCACACTGACACTTCTATGCTCCATATTGGGAACCCCAAGCTTTTGTCATTGCTGGTAAGAAAGAAAATGGAAAATTATTTTAAGTTTAAGGCCTAATTAAAATGATGCCCAACTAATCAAAACATACTATATATTTCCAATTTTGCCTCCAGATTTGATGTTATAAATAATTTCCAATCAGAAAATTACATGGATACATGGATGGTGGGAGGCAGCAGAAAATAGCACAAGAGGGAATATCAAATAAAAAACATGCTCAATTCATATGCTAGCTGGCATTAAAAGTTTCTGTACTTTATAATGCTAAGAAATACATATGAAAGTTATATTTTTGTGATAACATCAAAATATTAATAAACAGGATGAGAGAACTATATACATTAGGTACAAGTTTAACCTTAAATTGCCTTTAAATGTCTAACTTCTGAAACATGCAGTTATGTAATTTAAAGACCATGGTAGATAGCTGTGACACAAAAGCCTCTTCTGTCAAAACCAACAACAACAATAACGACTGTTTAGTACGGAAAAGAAGAAAGTCTCTTGTACTCTTCACAATACCTTTGAACTCTGATCAGCCTTGACAAATCACTTTATCGTTCATAGGAACTTTGTATGACACACTTTTCTTCCATTACACACTAAATGGGCCAAATGCTGCTAAATTGAAGCAGTTTTGTGTTTCTCTGATTTCTATGGAAAAGAGTTAACCACAGCTCCTCCAAGCCTCTTAGAGCCAGTTTGACTAAGCACCATCCGAGCCACGTCTACTATGAAATATATCACAGTTCTTGTAATGTGGCTTACCTTCAGGTAAGCAGGTATGTGAGTGCAGTGCTAAGAACAGAATTCTACCTGTACTGGATGGTGCTGATGATGATAAAGAGGAGTAAATGCAACACATCTGAGAGTCTAAAAGCACTGGAATACATCAAACTTTATATCTGGCTCTGTTTGAACTGGTGCTTCGCTTTTTAATCAGTCACTCCAATTCTAGGATAGTGACGCCACCAACTATCAGATGAAGGTTAGTTGAGTGATGCTAGCGAAACAGTTAATTGCTGATTCTTCCCTTTCTAATATAACTTAAATTATACATATAAGGATAGGCAAGCAAGTGAAGTTCAAGTTCACCAAGCTGCTTTGAACATCATTTCAACAATCATCTCTCCTAGCTGCCAAGGAAGGCCTTGGCAACTATAGGCAGCCTATAAATACATATATAAACAAACAAACAAACAAACAAATAACTTTGTGCTGGTGATTGGCCTCAGCAGGGGAATCTGTGACGTCATATGCCAAGGATGAGATGAACACACCGCCCTTTGGCAATCCAACCTGGCAGAGTCTTGAATTCTTTACAAGAAAGAGCCTAAGGCCAGGGTTGCATCATGTGAGGCAAACTTGATAGCCCACTGGTGGTGGTGGGCCCTTCATAGGCACTTTTCTTCCAGGTTTTGAAGATGAGTCACCTGTCCTTAAATGTAAAGGGGAACATGAGACTGATATCTAGTGCTGAAGGACAGTCTAGTAACACTTTATATGGGTGTTCTGTCAGGGAAGGAGGGGTGCTGCCTTCTTTTTTTCTTGGGGTCCTACACTCTGGTGCTTGTTCCTTCCAGAGACCATCTGCTGCTCCTTTGGTCTCCAATTAGCACACTTCCCCACTCTCTCTCCCTGAGAGAAATGTTTAAGTCTGTCTAGCACATTAAGGGGTTTCTTGTGAATCAGCACCAGGCGATGTCTGGAACCATGTCCAATTGCAGAGCCATAAAGATGGCACCAGCAGGATGGTTCCCCACAGTTTGCTTCTCTAATGGAACAACTGCAGAACTCTGGACTGAATGAGTTCTGGATGACACATTCCTAGACTGAGCTTTACATATGGGCCTTATCCACATACTTCCTCAGACCTTTTTTTTCTCCTATCCAAGCTTCACACGCAGTCACACACAGTTAATTGGAAAACTATCACTCATCATTGCAGATATTTTAGATTTCTGAAATACTTGGCCTCCACAACCCTTTCATATATCACCATATGCACTATTTATAGCAAGAGATAGGCTCTGTTTTATTCTGTGCTGAACTGCCTCAACCCCATTTGGAAGGATTGCCAGAAAGGCTGAGAAAGTCATTGGTTTCTATCAGTATTTAATCCCCTGCCTTTCAGCTGAAGGCACTCAATCTGCATGCAAAGTAGTGCAGCAAGTTGGAGGAGGTTTGAAAGACTGATTCTTTCCCAAGATATATAACTGAGAAGATACTCAGTCAGGTAATTCTAACATATTTTATGACACTAACTGAAATAAAAGTAGATTTTGTCCTCAAACAAATATCACAGATTAATTGTGCGATGCAGGTAGGAAAAAACTTGGAGAAGAGACAATATCAATGTTTGCTAGGCACTGAAACAAGCTCAAAGTACTTTGAGTGTAAAAGTAAGTCTTCTTTAGAGAGCAATTTCTGAATACCTAATTTATCAAAATATTTATATGCCCTCTTATAAAGTAAAAATGGCCTTCAAGACACCTTTCTAAAAATTAAAAGAAGAAATACATGAAAATGCTTCATGCACTATATAATTTTTTCTATGGAGTTGCCCTAGAGCTCTCTCCTATGCACTTTTGTCTCCCTAGAGGACAAAGTCCAAACAACAAAATGAACCAATCCACTATGCTGTGGCATGTTCAGAATTCTGGGACTAATTTAAACATGCACAGGATTTAAGTGTGGTTCCTTACTTTTGTCTAAACATGCAGAGGACTGTAGGCTGGTTCCTTAGTTCTGTCTAAACAATGTTCCCAGTTTTACCAACAGCAAACTGTTGCTCCATTATGCAGTGAACATGTTTTCTATTTAAATGGGATGGTTGCATATTCTGTGTGGACCTATGAAAGCTTAGAAACATGCAGCGTGTTAATCACAACAGATAAATGATCATTGTTCCCTAGCCTTTGGCACTGTAAAATGAGGTTCTGTAGAGTCAGTCCTTCAACCTGACAACAGTAATAAACTAAGTCTATTGCAAAACTGAGCTCCAAATGAAAGGCTGGAGGCTACAGACACCCCCGCCCCCTCATGCACACGCACACAAAAACCTCAAGAAAAATATTATTTTTGCCAGCAGGATTACACTTCTTCAAGTTTAGGATGGAATTTCTTGAAATTATTTTCCTTCTTTCCTTGATGGATAGCAACCTTGGATTATAGATGCTACACTTCCCTAAGGGGGGGGGAAAAGAGCTATAATGTCTAAATAAATAATCAGCACTTGATGTACTGCCATTTGTGTTTTCCTAAAGGCCAGGAAAGTGGTCATTGCAATTATGAATAAATTCATGCCATGTGTATGCTTCACTTGGTAGAATAATACTGGTTTTTGGGAGATGTCATTTTCTGTACTTAAAAACTAATCAAGGGCACAACCGTATACCAGGGGTCTAACAGTTAAGGGGCCATTGTTTGCTGGAAGCCACAGTGCAACAACAAGAACCAAACATGTCACTGCTATGACAAATTTGTAGTGAGCTGTAAATGCATGCATGCCTAATAAATATCAGCATCAGCCATAATATATGTCCAATAGCCAAAGGTTATTTACTTATTTGTGTTCTACCTTCTATTAAGCAAAATGACACTCAAAGCCCTACTCTGTAAATAAGGGGCAGGGAAACTGTGCCTTTCCTGATGTTCATGCACTACAACCTGGACCATCCTTGACCCCGACCATGGTAGCTGGAGCTGACAGGAGCATGGAAGGCCTTAGGTATAAATCCCTTTAAAAATTTTGCAGAGCCATAAAGCATCTTTAAATCCTCTTGGGCTCTCCTTACAATGGCTGCCTTCCTATTGCTATTTTAATGTGTGATTGTGCGCAGAGATGTTATCACAGCTTTCATTCCACTCCCAAGACATCATCTACTTTCATTCAACATTTTTCTGGGCTTTCTAACCAGGTAAGAGAACCATTCTGCAGCCTCCGTTTATACACTCCGCAAAACTGAGTATGTGTCTAGTGAAGCTCTCCAACAATGTGACTGTAGCAGCTGCTGCTGCTTGAAAAGAAAATGCTGCCAGCTCTGATAATACCTTCAGAAAATGTAAGGGTTAACCCCCGTTCCAGGCCAGATATTTCCATGTTATGTGGTGCTTCCACTGCATGCACATGCACACTAAAAGACAGAGCATGCATTCCTTTTATACAAGTCCATGTATTCTCTTGTCTTCAAAACGATCTTCTGGTTAATCAGTGACATGCTAAACACTCTATAATTTCACCAAGCCACAAATCTTACACAAAACAGTATTTAGGGCCATTTGTTCTAGAGCCA